GCAGTGTAGGAGGGTTCCCCTTTCTCCACATCCTCACCAACATTTGTTGTTGCTTGTCTTTTGGATGTTGGCCATCCTAACTGGAGTGGGTTGATATCTCATTGTGGTTTTAATTTGCATTTCTCTGATGTTTAGTGATGTAGAGCATCTTTTCATGTGCCTGTTGGCCATCTGAATTTCTTCTTTGGAGAAGAGTCTGTTCAGCTCCTCTGCCCATTTTTTTTTTTTTGAGAGGGCATCTCTCATATTTTTTGATCAAATGGTTGTTAACAACAATAAAATTCTGTATAGGGGGGTCAATGCTCAATGCACAGTCATTAATCCATCGCAAGCCTAATTCTCATCAGTCTCCAATCTTCTGAAGCATAATAAACAACTTCTTACATGGTGAACGAATTCTTACATAGTGAATAAGTTCTTACATGGTGAACAGTACAAGGGCATTCATCACAGAAACTTTTGGTTTTGATCACGCATTATGAACTATAAACAATCAGGTCAAATATGAATATTCGTTTGATTTTTATACTTGATTTATATGTGGTTCCCACATTTCTCCCTTTATTATTATTATTTTTTATTTTTAATAATATGCTGAAGTGGTTCCTCTATCCATTTTTTAATTGGCTTATTTGCTTTTTGTATGTTGAGGTGCATGAGCTCTTTATATAATTTGGATGTCAACCCCCTATCGGATATGTCATTTATGAATATTTTCTCCCATACTGTAGGATGTCTTTTTGTTCTACTGATAGTGTCCTTTACTGTACAGAAGCTTTTTAGTTTGATGTAGTCCCACTTGTTCATTTTTGCTTTTGTTTCCCTTGCCTGGGGAGATATGTTCATGAAGAAGTTGCTCATTTTACATCCAAGAGATTTTTGCCTATGTTTTTTTCTAAGAGTTTTCTGGTTTCATGACTTACATTCAGGTCTTTGATCCATTTTGAGTTTACTTTTGTGTATGGGGTTAGACAATAATCCAGTTTCATTCTCTTACAGGTAGCTGTCCAGTTTTGCCAACACCAGCTGTTGAAGAGGCTGTCATTTCCCTGTTGTATATCCATGGCTCCTTTATCATATATTAATTGACCATATATGCTTGGGTTTATATCTGGGCTCTCTAGTCTGTTCCATTGGTCTATAGGTCTGTTCTTGTGCCAGTACCAAATTGTCTTAATTACTGTGGCTTTGTAGTAGAGCTTGAAGTTGGGGAGTATAATTCCCCCCAGCTTTATTCTTCCTTTTCAGGATTGCTTTGGCTATTCAGGGTCTTTTGTGGTTCCATATGAATTTTAGAACTATTTGCTCTAGTTCGTTGAAGAATGCTGTTGGTATTTTGATAGAGATTGCACTGAATCTGTAGATTGCTTTAGACAGGATGGCCATTTTGACAGTATGAATTCTTCCTATCCATGAGCACGGCATGTGTTTCCATTTATTGGTATCTTCTTTAATTTCTCTCATGAGTGTCTTGTAGTTTTCAGAGTATAGGTCTTTCACTTCCTTGGTTAGGTTTATTCTTAGGTATTTTACTCTTTTTGATGCAATTGTGAATGGAATTGTTTCCCTAATTTCTCTTTCTGCTAGATCATTGTTAGTGTATAGGAATGCAACAGATTTCTGTGTATTAATTTTGTATCCCACAACTTTGCTGAATTCAGATATTAGATCTAGTAGTTTTGGAGTGGATTCTTTAGGGTTTCTTATGTACAATATCATTTCATCTGCAAACAAGGACAATTTGACTTCTTCCTTGCCAATCTGGATGCTTTTTATTTCTTTGTTTTGTCTCATTGCCATGGCTAGGACCTCTAGAACTATGTTGAATAAAAGTGGAGAGAGTGGGCATCCTTGTCTTGTTCCCAATCTTAAAGGAAAAGCTTTTAGCTTCTCGCCATTAAGTTTATTGTTGGCTGTGGGTTTGTCATATATGGCCCTTATTATGTTGAGGTACTTGCCCTCTATTCCCATTTTGTTGAGAATTTTTTATCATGAATGGATGTTGAATTTTGTCGAACACCTTTTCAGCATCTATCATGGGTATTTAAATTTAAATCAAAAGTTCAGTTCCTCAGTCCCCTCACCACTTCAAGCTGTCACCAGCCATGTGCAGCTAGTGGCTGCCACTTGGGACAGCTGAGGTAGAGAATGTTTCTGTCACTTCGGAAGTTCTGTTGGGCATCGCTGGTCCATTAAAAGCAATATGTGATCTTCTAATACAGTTGAGGGGGGACCCACTACTCTTCCAGTTTATTTTCTTGCTCGGCTTGGTCTTAATTATTTAGAAAGTAAAATGAGACATGTGAAGAGCCAGCAGGAAGTGGTTCCTGCATTAAGCAGACCTGTGGGGGCTTCTCAAGAAGGTGGCTCCTGTGGTTGGGAGGGCTGCAGCTTGTCCACCACTCCTCTTCCATACGATCCTGAGTGGTCTGAGGCACTTGGACAGTTACTGGTGCTAAGAACCCCTGTTTCTTTAAATGGGGTTTGGGGTTTATGAGGTGGAGAGGAGTCTTGGATTTTATGTGGGTGCACAAAGTATAATTTTGTTGTGGCTCCACTTCCCTCAGGGTGGCGGGGTGTCAGGAAGGGGAGTGTGGGCTGTGCATGGCCGGCTTGGCTCTCTGACCTGGAACGTGTACATCTAGCAGGGAGAGGTTGCCTGGGGAAGCAGGGAACCTGTGGGCAAACTGAGACCCATGTTAAGGGGCACAGTGGAAAAACACCCCCATCTCCTGCCATATGTATAAACTGGCACCATGAGACAGCAAAGAGCAGGACTTCCTGGCTTCCAGAAGTAAACACTTTTTTGCGCATCTTTACACATCAGATGCTACATAGACAGGAAACGACCATGGAAGGAGACAGTCCCTGTGTGCAGCCAGCCCTCCACCCAGGAGCACTTTTGGAATGGTCCTATTTAAATAATTCCTTTTTCTTTTGGTTTTCTCATCCTATGAAGAGATGTCTTGCTTTTGTATAGGTTTTATTTAAGAAACATTCTTTGGCAAAATTGGAACAAGGAGACAACGGTCTGGGAGTTGGGAATTTGAGGCATGCGCTTGCTGGGTTTGGCTCTGGGTGAGAAGGAAGTCGTGGAAGCGTGCTACAGGTCCCCGGACGAAATGCAGGGCCCTGCTGTCTCTGAATCTGCTCCCCTCCTGGCCACCCGAGGTCCCTCCCTCTTCTCCTTGCCCACCATGGCGATTTTGCCTCCTTGTCTGATCTAAGTTCTTGCCCTGCAGACATTTCCCTTTGTCAGTGCCCCAGAGTGGCCATCGTCTCTGTCCTCCGTCACTTGAGGAAGTCGCAGGAGGTGCCCAGGGCATCTCAGTGATTCACGTAGGAGGTGGGGCAGCAGGGTGGGTGGTGGGGGGCATGTGCAGGCTTGAGGTTTGGGCGGCCTTGGCCTGGCGCGCTCCACTCCTGGTCCTTTGGTCCTTTGCCTGGTCCTTCTGGTGTGGATTTGAGGTCAATAGCTGGAATGCAGATCTCTGTTGGCATAGCATGTTTATGAAGTGGTGTGACTTAAATCATTCTGAACCTCAGAGCCATTGGTCCCCAGCAGGGGAAGCACCCATGGGAGAGCTCAGATACACCCCAAAAGTATTCTGTTACCCAGAACATTTTTGGAGTTCTCAATGGGATGATTTGCACCTTCTAACCAAGTGTTATCAGTTTTATGAGTTACTGTCCTCTTCTATACTGTCCTTAAGGGGTGAATTTGATATTTGAGTTTACCTGAAGTCATTTACAGTCAAATCTGGTCAATAGGTATGGGGGTGTATGTGGTGGGGGGAGCACTGATTATAGTAATAGTGCTTAGGGTAAAAAATATAGTTTGAAGACTGGAATGAGTTGGTTGTTTGCATTTTGTCTGTGTGACTTTAGTGATAATTCCAAAAGGGTTCCAGTGGTGTTGTGAGCATAGCAGTACCGTAGGGTCCCAAGGAGACTCCCTGGAAAATGGAATACTTCCTAGATGCAGGTTTTGAGTATTTCTTTTGAAAACCATCATTAATCACACTCTGCATTTAGGTAGGATCACAGCCAGTTCATTCATGGAGCTCCCATTGAAGAGGAGGATTACTTAGCAGAATCAGACTATTCCTGTTTTTCCTCCATAGAAGGGGCTGTGTCTTGTCTCCCCTACCCACTCCCCCCTCCCCACCCCACCCCACCCCACCACCCACTTGGCTCCCTCCCTCTTTTTCCTTGAGTCCCTTGCCTTTGCCCTGGGGAGTCTTGCCTTTACATTTTATTTGTTCTTGCTAAGGTGGGGGAGGCCCTGGATACCTGTCTCTCCAAGCCACACAGCAGGAACAGTGCCAGCCTGAGGTGGCCCTGACTGACAGGAGTGTGTCATAGAGACAGAAGCATGAACAGTCCTTCCTGAATGTGGCTGCAATTTACAATCACCTGGGAAGTGTTTAAAACTCCCACTGCCCAGGTCACACCCAGTACCAAGGGAGTAAGAGTATCTGGGGATGGGAGCCAGACAGCAGCAGTTCATCAGAGATTAATTCTACAGTCAACCCAATAAACCCAAGAACTGTTTAAGACAAGAACTTATTTTTCCCATCTAATAAAGTGGGTGACAAGGAGGGTTGGTCTCCCCCAGCTTAAAAAGAAGCCAGCAGCTAGAACCTAAGAGAGCCATTGTCCCACTGTGCCCAGGTCTCCTGGTAGGTGACCGTCCCTCAGACTGGAGGGGCTCTGCCAAATGGGAAGGGACCTGGGTAATCCATCTGCCTCTGAGCCCAGTTCTCATAGGCGGGCTTTCTGTTTAGGTGGATTCGTGAATGTCAGAGTGGGTGAGACAGGCGGACCTGCCCTAAGAGTGTCACTGACGGGCCCCATGGGAGGGACAAAGGGAGAGCCTGTGGGCCAGGGCCCATTCGGACATTTTTGTCGGTACGACTGTGATATCTCAGGCAGGAAATACGATCATAGCTCTTTTGGGTGCAAACAACGGCATTTTTCTGTTGGCTTGTCCTCCCTAGGGATATGAAGTTGGATGGAGGAAGACAATCAGCAGGTGCTGTGAGCTTGAAAGAGATTGTTGGTCTTGAAGGCGTGGAGCTGGGAGCTGATGGGAAGGTAAGGGTTTCTGTCTTCGAATTAGCGAGTTTGTGCCGATAACCACAGGGTTCAGGAAGCAGGCAGATGATGACCACGAACCTCAAGGTGGAGGAACTGGGTCTGGGGCACATTCCTGGGCACATGACGCCAGCCGGTGCCACTTCCTCAGAATGCACACAGAAATGCCCTGAGCCAGTGATTAAACAGCAGCACATCTATTTCCCTGCCATCATGGTCTACAGTACAATGTGTGGTGCTGACCCAGATCTGATGCACACACATGCATGTTCTGGAATGGGGTGATGGGTAGTTTGGATATATGTTGACTGATGATGTCAGCAAATAGCATTCCCACTACTAGGAAGGGGTTTTGGCTTCTGAGAAGCTAAGACCCCTCAGCCCTAGAGAGCGACCATGGGCAGTAGGGCTGCCACATTCCCCTTCACCCACAGTGTAGAGAGATGCTGGGTTGAAGTCTGAGGAGTGATGGCTCAAAGGTGAACTTGACCTTTTAGAGTAGGAGCCAGGCAGTCTTTGTAAACTCTTCCAAAACCTGTTTGTAGACAGGATGCAAGTGTTTGAGAAGCCACTCGAGGGTAGTTTATGTACAGCTGAAGCTGCAGGGTGGCAAATGATTGCCCCACTGCCCCTCCCCAGAATAGCTGGTTACCCCTGTGCCTGAATGATCCCACCCTGAGCTCACAGTGAGGGGCGCATGAACCAGTCAGCTCAAGCAGGTAAAGAGAAAAGCACCTGTTCTGTCTTTACTCATAAAGGTTGGGTGTTCACATAGGAATGAAGGAGGATGGCACAGAGATGCACATCACAGACAACATCTGCCACAGCAACTACAGGAGGCCCAGCCCCTTTTCAGAGACTCTTGGGGCCTGGTGCGTTCTGAAATTCTGCAGCTGGGTGGGTCTTAAAAACCAGTGCAGTGTGTGCCTCCTGAGATAGCTGCTGGTCATCAGACATGCAAGTATTTCTGTCCCATAACATGAATATTTGTGCCAACTAGGATAAATTAAAAGTGCGCACAGCCACTGGTCAGTTCAGTTCAGGTTTTGGCACAAGTTTGGTATAAATGAGTGCCAAAAAGTTTTTGTTTCTCAGAAATCTTTGGGTATTAGGCACGCATCTATGGGAATATGGACCTGAACTTGGCAACATAGCCTGTTCAGAACGCAAACCTGACATCGCCTGGGAACAATCACTGTCCCATTTTTGTCTTCCCCTTTTAGACTGTTTCTTACACCCAATTTCTGTTACCTACAAATGCCTTTGGAGCCCGGAGAAATACCATCGACTCCACCTCTTCCTTCTCCCAGTTCCGTAACCTGAGCCACCGCAGCCTCTCCATAGGACGGGCAGGCAGCACCCAAGGGAGCCTCGACACAGGTGACCTGGCGCCTGGCTGGGCTGGGAAGCTCCTCATGGGAGTGGTTCAGGGTGCGGCACGGGTTGGTCTCCCTGTGAGCAGGTGAGGGCAGGTGCCTCTGGAGCACAAGCTCACTGCCCAGGCGACGTGCCTTTCAGGCAAGCCCAGTTTCAGGCCATGCAGTTCACAGCCAGGCCATGGTCACTGCTCTTAGGAGATGCCTCAGGTGCCTGCCAACCCCCAGGGTCCCACGAGGAGGAAGGCCAAAGCCATCTGCACCAAGCAGCCCGCACTCAGCCTCTCACCCGCTCAGCCCCTCATTTCCGCTTGGTTCTCACCTCCATTTTTATAGTGCTCGAATTTGACCTTTCTTCAGTTAATCGGGCCAGAAATTCAGGATCAGATGTAAGAACTCCCTTTGTAATTCTCATAGTGGGCGAGTCAACTTGGTGCTGAAGGCAGGCTTGCATGCTTCCAGCTTTGCCTGTGCAAACCTTGGTAAGAACTGGCACAAGGGAGAATAAACTTTATGAAGCACTCTATCTCCACTCTGGAGAAATTGCAAGTGAATGAGTGAGTGCCTTCGGCCTGTCTAGGTGCTGAGTTGGGAAACACTGACTGTCCTGATGCCCCAGCCGCCTCTGGCCATTTCCAGCTGTTCTCATTGGTGTCTGCTCTGATCTGTGTTCCTGCAGACACAGTAGCCTGCCTGCAAACACACCAAAAATGTGCTGCTCACATGGCACAGCTTGAGTCTACTTATTTTATCTGCAGGTTTAGAAAGTGACCCTGAATTTTCAGTGCCACATCTTAGGATCTGCGAGGGTTCACTGCATCTTTCATGTTCCATGGGGTTCTGCGCTCACCCAGGTCAACGAGATTAATACATAATTTTCTAAAATGGGAAAAAATGTCAGAATGTTAAGTATTTGGTGAACCCTTTTACAGGGGGGGTACACTTCATCGGTATGCAGAGACATCTACTAAAAGTCAGAGAAAGAGATGTGGCTGAGCTGAAGGACGTGAAGCCAACCTTTGTTCAGTCTAAGTGTATTCTTGGCATTTGCCCAGCTATTCCTGCTTCAGAGGGTCTGGGTCCCCTAATTATCATTTTGCATTGGATCCTTAGGTAGCGACCTGGGAGACTTTATGGATTATGACCCAAATCTCCTGGATGACCCTCAGTGGCCTTGTGGCAAGCACAAGCGAGTTCTGATCTTCCCTTCGTATATGGTGAGTAGCGGTGGAGGGCAGGCCTGTTTAGCTCCCAGCCTCCTAAAAGCAGCTTGCAGAAAGTCCACAATGTGCTGGTCCAGGATCCATCTGGTCACTTGGCCTGTGGCAGCACCTCAGCTACAAGCTCAGGGTCGGGGACCCTCCCCTCAGGGGCATGCCCGAGCTCACACAGCTGGAGAGCCCTCTAAGGGAGCATGAGGCCCACCACTGGCAGTCAGGGCTGAGCTCAAGGTCAGCTCAGTTTGGAGTTACTCAGTGACTAAGCCCCCACAGGCTCTCTGAGCATACATTTGGCACTGGGCTCTGGATGACAGAATTATCTCCTGGGAAAGTGAAAGTAGGACAATGTGGGTGTTAAATGCAAAACCTTCCTTGCCGTTTCTATTTCATGGACTCTTCCTGTTTTTCCCTTTGTGCAATTTTGGTTTCTGCTTTTGGCCGACCACCGTTCCCGACCACTCCGGCTGCCGTTTCTCCAGACAGCAGTCAGGCCTGACGGGTCCTGTGCGCCTTTTTCGGGCAGACTTGCCCTGCCTCGGGGCAGGCAGAGCCCTGGAAGGAGGAGAGAGCTGTGTTTGTGGGGAAACCCGCCGTGCCAGGCCTGCCGCCCATAGATGCGGGTGGGAGAGCGCTAGCCCAGAATGCCCCTGCAGACTCACTGCCAGGCCCAGATGCTGTGGGCACAGCCAAAACCTGTTCCCTCACTTCTCCCCAGCCTCTGCTTGCTGCTCTCAGCAGCCCTGGCCTCAGGAACCAGCAAAAGGTCCTTTTTCTGTCTTAGGCTCTGTGTCTGTCTGCACAACCCAGAGTGGGACCCAACTCCATGTACTCAAAGGACACCTGGATGCTCACTCAGAGCTCAGGGTCTTCACCAGTGGGGCCCACCCTCCAGCCTCATCACACAGGCAGGACTCAGGCCCTTGTTGCAGCACATATCCTCTTGTAAATTGACAGCTAGCTCCGAGATCCTTCTAATGTGCCACACTGAGTCAGAATTAATTACCAAAGGCATTAAAATTGCCCCTACTTCTTCTTCCATCCGTATTCCCCAACTCCTAACACAGAAAGCAAAACCAGAGCCATGTATAGTTCCGTTTTTCCGCTCTGTGACTGGTTAGATCATTTACAATCTTTTTAAAAAACAGGGTTTATTCATATAAGGTAGCCCATGTGTAAACAAACTGAATTACGGCCCTAATGCAAATAGGGAGCAATAGAGATGCCATGACTTGTGTGAGAATAAGGATTCTTTATGTTGCTTACTGTTTTATTTACTAAAACTCACTTATTTATTTATTAAGTAACTTGGGCAGGGAGCTGGCTCGGAGTAGAGTGAGGCTGTCACAGGTGACAGACAGGAAGCAGGGACCGAGTCTGGAACTCCTGGCTCGGGGCTCTCCTCATTGCCTCTGGGTCCCACGTCCCTCCGCAGTCAGACTGCCCACCTCAGGGAGGCGTGTGAAAGTGATTTTTTTGTGCCAACAGTTTAAGAGGTATCTAGGTAACCAAAAGAATAAGAAGTACACTGTTTTTGACTGACTGTGGGGTTTGGTGGGGAATGTGCTCTTCTGCAGGTGATAACACTGACCTCTCCTTTGATAGGCCTGGTACCTGACTGGGCCAGATCACATTTGGTTTATTCTTTGAGTGATTTCACTGTGAGCTGCGAGTTCCTGGGCCGCAGTTTCTGCATGCGTGCCCATGCACGTGGATGATTTTTCTCCTTGCACAGTGGGCCCCATGACTTGCCAAGTCAGTGTGTATGTCCTACGCTCTTTGTTTTATGCTCCCAAGTGGGTCATTCTTCATTTCACCATGTTGAATCTGCAGCCCGTGCTTCCAATAACAGTCCATTCTTTAGAGAATGGAACTGCTCATGAACTGCATTTGACTGGTCAGCTCCCTAAGACCTACGTCTCCTCCTATTCTGGCTACAGGTATGGGTCCTTTGAATAAAGGGAGGGGTGTCCGCTTTTCAGTATTCTTGCCTAAGTCACTGGCGTGCATGTCACATGTTACAAAGAGCCCCAAACTGGCTCCCAGGAGGCATCCTGTCTAGGAGAGGGAGTGGATTTTAGGGCTGCTGCACATACATTGACTGGCTTTATTCTGTGTGTTGGGTTGTAAGTATAGAATATGTCCATTCAAGCAGAATTGACTGATGCCCTACTATGTGCCTGGCATGTGCTTCTTGTTGCGAAGGAGAACAGAGCAGCCACAGCCCCCGTTCTCCCCGACCATAGAGTGGCTGGAGAAGCTGCCCAGTGAACAAGGTGACAGTCCCTAGTTGTGAGAAGGAGGAGGAAAAGTGGGAGGAGATAGCAGGGAGGGGCCTGGACTTCAGAGGTGGGCCTCATGGAGGGCTCCCCTGCAGAAGGCAGCCAGGGTGAGTGCTTGGGGGTGAGAAGGAGCAGCTGGACTAGGCCATGGTAGGAGCCCATGAGCAAGACCCTGAAGTGTGGGAGAGGTTGACTGTTGAAAAGTCGAGCCTGTAGGACCCCCCACCTCCCAGCTGTGGAAGGCCCTCTGCGAGGGTCCGGAACACATCTTGGCCCCTGGGTGACTGAGGCACTCTGCCCAGCCAGCTTGGAGCGAGTGGCACATTTCTGCTGGGCTGTGACCCGCATCGTTGGCAGGGTGCCCCCTGCAGGTGGATGTCAGATCTGTGTGAAGCTGTGCACCCCAGAGCTGTTGCCCACCTCCCTAAATATCTGGGCCTCTGGCCTCTACTGCCCATGTATGCTTCCTTAGTTTCCCAGGGCAGCTCAAGTTCAGCCAGCCTAGCAGAGGCCTTGAATTTGAGAACCAGGGGCTGTTGTTCTAGGGTGTCCTATTCCTGTGGGATTGCAGAGTCTGAGATGTCCAAGTGTCCTGTGCAGAATCAGGCAACCCCAAAAGGGATGAGTGAGCCCTTTTACCCCAACCAGTCCTAGAGAAGATACTTTTTTATTCTTTCACAGATTGAATTGTAATTTACATTTGATCAGATGCACCCATTTTAAGTGTACAGTTCCATGGATTTTATAACCTCTACTCTGATCAAGATACAGCATTTATCTCCCCTTAGAAAGCTTCCTCCCCGCTCATCCTGTTCTGCGTCCCACCCACTTCCAGCAGAGGGAGCGGCCTTTCTGACTTCTGTCCCCATAGATTAGTTTTGTCTACTCTGGACTTCACAGAAATGGAATTGTACACTCTATGCCCTTTTTTGTCCATTGTCTTCCACATAGCTTCATTTCTGCAAGATTCACTCATGCTGCATAGATATCAGTAGTTTTTTTTAACTGCTGAGTAGGGTTCCATTGTATGTATGGACCACGGTTCATTTATCCACACTGCTATTGATGGACTATTTGGGTCACTACTAGTCTAGTAGTTATTATGAATGTTGTACATTTCCTCGGCAAGTCTTTTTTATGACATATATTTTCATTTCTCTTGGGTAAATATCTAGGAGCGGGCTTTCTGAGTCAGAGTGTATGTAATGTTAACCAGCCAGGATGTAGCTGGATGTATATTTTCATTCGTGTCTGTTCTAAGTATAAGATAAAAAGGGCACCCATTGCTGCAGTTGGAACATGCCTTTAAGTTGGAGGGTGGGGGGGCTCCAATGGTGAATATGTCCCTACGGCTTCCAGAGCAGCCTGTTATTTACAAAGCGGCACCCCTTTAAAATTGGTCTTACATCTGTAGTTACAGTTGTATTTTTTAACTTTGATCCATGCATGTCACTCCTATTATGAGCCACTGGGACGGGGGCAAGAGAGACATTTTGAACTAAAAAACAAATTCCTGGAGCAGGTGTGGAAACCCAATTGCAGCTTTCCCTGTGGTTTTGGCCTTAAAGTTTCTGGAAGGTGACCACAGACTCTGAAAGTCTGTTTCACCTCCCAGCTACATGCCGGCTCTTGCAGGGCCTTAGCTTAATGATGGTGTTTGTAGGCCCCAGGAAGGCAGGTGGGAGGGAGGCCTCACGTCGCGACCCGGCACTTCCTGCTTTCTGCACTGCCTAGCCTGTAATTACATTTTGACTGGAGAGTGGTTATTTATCACTAGACCCTGGCAGCTGAAGTCGGTAGTGGTTCAGTTTTGTTTTCTTCTTCTCTTTGTGGGTGTGGAGAGCAATTAAGAGGAGAAAGTGAGTGAAAGAGCTGACTGAAATAATGCCAAAAAAATAATGTTATTTGAATGGATTTCTGGATCCTTTTTCTTTCTCAGAAACAAATCTCTCTCAAACTGTTGACATCAGGGAAAAACTAGCAGCCTTCATGGTATCCGTAGGTGTAGAAATCTCAAGAGGACATCTCTGGGATTGACCCCCATGCTAAAGTGCCTGTTCTTTCTACTTAATATCACAATCTAAGTGCTCATAGAAAAACCCCTCCTCCCACCCTCATATCTCCCCAGGGTTGTGGGAGTACATCTTAGAATTCATTTTTTTTGGTTCAGTGTGAGATGCTGAGCAGTGAGAAATAGAGGAATCAATAAGAAAGAGATTAATTCCACTTTCTGTGTGGTAAGTCATCGGACTCTGCCTTCCCCCCAATCTTTTTCATTGAAAGCTATCTCAGTGGCCTGTTTGCAAGTTGGGTTTATTGAGAAGCCAAAGCAGCTTGAGTCCCAGGGGCCCCTCCCTTGTGAGGCTCCTTCCAAGGCCCTGAGGTTCCAAGCTTAATCAGCTGCGGAGTCCTCTTTAAGTAGGGCAACGTCACAGAACACTGCTGCTAGGCCTCTCCTGAGACCTGAAAGGACCCTGGAGCTTCCCCAGTGCCAGGGAAGATCGGCCAGGTGCTTGCATGGGAGCGGAGCAGCGGGGTCTTTGAGGCTTGCTGGCTTTTGGTGCCCACGTTAAAAATAAAATGCCTTGAATGCCTTTTACCACAATGTTGTTTGTTTGTTTGTTTGTTTGTTTGTTTTGGTAACACCTTATTTGGATACAATTCACCCCTTTAAAGCCACCAGTTCAGTGGTTTTTAGTATATCCACCCAGTTGTGCG